CCAACTGATGAGGAATTAGTTGGATATTACCTTCATAGAAAGGTGGAGGGGCTCGAATTTGAGCTTGAAGTTATTCCGGTGATCGATTTGTACAAATTCGATCCATGGGAGTTGCCAGGTAATTAGTAATTCAATGCTTTTAACTCTTTCACTAATAGTAATTTCACTACATTTTCGTTCACTAGTTTGCTCTGTGAGACATTGAATGAATTACAATAAGTTGGCGTGACTGCATTGGGTTAAGTATCATTTTGTATTTCGAGCGATATTCCAAACTAATCTAAACTGCAGAGAAGACTAGTTTAGCCAATTTGACTAAGCTTAGGTCTGCGCATTGGGTTAAGTTATTTGGTGTTTAGATTGATTCTTTGATTGGCGTGTGGATGGATTTTCTATATGAATGTGAACAGAGGGTGCCATAAAGCTAGTTTCGATTTAGTTTAGTTCGGCTTCTTTTCTGTTCTTTTTTTATGAATTAAACCTGCGCATCATCTTCCTTTTCTGAAAGGGTATGTGGGTTTCTTTACTTCCAAAAAGCCAAGCTAATTAGCTTTTTTTCTTTTCTGAACCACCAAGCTAATTGGCTTTATATATTCCCCTATAAGTACGTAACAATTCAAATCAAATAAAGCACAAGAACAGTGAAGGTTTTTTTTTTCTCTTCCCAAAATTCCAATTAGATTTTCAATAATATATGTGAATTTTGATTGCAGAGAAATCCTTCCTCCCTAGACGTGATATGGAATGGTTTTTCTTCTGTCCGCGGGATCGAAAGTATCCAAACGGCTCGAGAACAAATAGAGCTACTAAAGCTGGCTACTGGAAGGCCACTGGAAAAGACCGCAAGGTTGTTTGTCAATCTGGTGTGAATGGATACCGAAAGACCCTTGTTTTTTACCGCGGACGTGCTCCTTTAGGAGATAGAACAGACTGGATCATGCATGAGTACCGCCTCAATGATGATCTTGCTCAGGGAACATCTGGTCATCAGGTACATCATCCTGCAGTGTCATCAAATGCTTTGGCTTCATACAACATACGTTTGTTAGACAGTTCCCTTGTGTAATTAATAGTATAAGAGCTTCGATGCTACTAAATTTTGGAAGGCTTATGTTGAATTCGGTTTGTTGATCATCTCTACAGGGAGTTTTTGCTTTGTGCCGTGTTGTTAAAAAGAATGAGCATGCACAGAAGACACATGATGCCCATGGAGAGCCAAAGGCCAAGAGGGTTGGAAGCGCTTCGAGCAGTGGGGAGGATATGACCACAACAAGAATCTTAAAAGAGCCCTTGAGCATCTCTGCTGATACATCATCTCAAGCGAGTTACCTGCATAACGAGAGTCGTTATTCAAGCCGTGCTACTTCTCCACATGAAGTTAATCCAATGGCAGAGTTTGAGCCAGCTTCAAGGGAGACCAACCCTGCAGACTTCTGGGTCTCGCCTGATTTGATTCTTGATTCTTCCAAGGTATTGATGCGAGAAAAAGAAAACCATGAAATTTTGGACTAATAATATTGTTCTTATTTTTATAGCTTTTTCAAATGCAGGACTACCCACAGTTGCAAAAAGCTATGCCTAATTACTTTCAGCAGTACGAGTTTCCAAGCACAATGTCGCCGTGGCAGTCATATGAACCCAGAGAATCACCTAGCTCGTCATACTCGAATTTCACAGGGGACCTTAAAATGGCCGATGATGTGAGTCAAATGGGCGGCATGTCACCGTTCTCTGGACACACAGACTACATGGGTTACTATGGGAATGAGGAAATGCAATTTGAAGGTTTTGACCAGACTAGTTCACTGAGATATCCAAACCCCTTCTGAAAAGATGAACCGAAAGATCATTTTGTCGCTCTCTTTCTTCCAATGCAGGGTCTGAAACATGGGATAGCCAAGCTCTAATTTGCAGGCAAGTGAGCGCAGATGGGAGTTTGGGGGAATTAGGAGGACTTTGGTTACAGGAAGACAATATGGTCATTGTGATGTAGGGTTCTGCCCAGTGCAGGATTGAACAATCGAGTACAATGTATTGCGTCATCCACAGTCGACATCCAAGACAACGCCTTTTAACGTTGGTTCTTGGTAGTATAAGATAATTACAATCACTGTCTTTTACAAATAACGACTGGTTTGTTTTCTTTTCGGACGTAGTATGTGTACTTCATCTGTTGTTTGGAGAGTTATTTCAGAAGCCACTTCCAAACTTCCCACTTTGCTTTACTTTGCAGTCTGTTAGTTTCTCCGGGTGAATCACTTTTATCGATTTTACTTGGCGTTGGTTTTTCTTACAACTTGTATGGTTTTAATAAGTTTGATTGTTAAATCTAAGCTACCTTGTGGTTGTAATCTATACAGTGTAATTTTCCATGCCTTCTGTGGTAGCATCTTTTATGTATTTGACTCCCTTTATATGATACTAGAAATTATTATATATAGTTCTTTTACTTCTTGTCTTCTAATGTTGATCACGTCTGCCTATTTTCTACTTTTTATCATTTCTTTATTAAGGCAATACAACCCTATTCTATTGAGAGACGGATTGGAGCTTTAGATGCAAAAGGATGGACACACTACCTTAACCAACTGACTTAACTCATATCTGGCTATGTTCTACTTTTTATCATTTCTTTAACAAGGCAATACAAACCTAGCTAATCTATTGAGATTTGGAGATTAGGTGCAAGAGGGTGGGCACACTACCTTAATTAACTGTTCTAACTCACGTGTAGCTATGTTCTACTTTGTATCATTTCTTTAACAATGCAATACAACCCTAGTCTATTGAGAGGGGGATTGGAGCTCAAGTATAAGAAGATGGGCACACTATTTTAACCAACTGACCTAACTCACGTCTTGCTATATTCTACTCTTTTTTTTAGGCAAAGAATAATTAGTTTGCAAGTATACCAGGTAAATACGAAAGAGAGTAACAAAACAGAGAAAAGTGGTTGAACATGTGAACTCAAGGCAGTAGTACTGCTTGTGTCTCAAACTTTCAACGACCTTCAATCATCATGCTCCTTCAAATTATTGAATTTTTTCCGAACTTAATATTCTCTTGAGATATAAAGCTAGTGGTAAAGGCTGCTTTTCTAAGTGTTGATAAGCCATCCAATAATTCCATTAGGAAGTTAGATTTAGAGTTTCGACACATTCTTTAAGCTTTTTTACGGTTTGTAATAAATGGAATTTGGTGGGGTTTACTAAGGTTTTGGTGGGTAGCTAAATGAGTATGACTTGATAGATTTTCCACATCTTTTTAAGATTGAAGATTCACATTACTGTTAAACTTGATCTGGGTGTACATATGGAAAGCTCTAAGGCTAAGGGCCCCTTGATAGTTTTCCACTTCCTTATTGCTTTTTCGTTATTCAGGAGGGAAATGGAGTCGAGATATCTTCAAAAAATTTCTGTTGAACAATGTGATAAATAAGTTGAGTTATTTACGAGGTTGTGAAGATTAGAACTTCTCATAATTCAATACTACGAGACACCAACTGATAAAGGACAACCTCAAGCCAACAAGGCTTCCCGCTTTGTAAGGATTGGGGAGGGAACGTCTATCGTATGCATCATTACCCTTACTCTACAAAGAGACGGTTTCTACAACTGATGATAGATTAAAATTTATTATTTGGAACACTATTCTGAAAGTTTTGAGTTATGCATGAGGTTGCGGGGATTCGAATTCAGCTTCGAGTTGTTCTACCTAACTTCAAGTTTGTCTGATTTGATCATATGGGGCTGAACTGAAGTTACCCATCAAAATCCATTTATTCTTCAGCCTTGGAGGTGCTTTTTGGCAGCCCCATACACGAGTTTTCTAATGAAAAGTGCAACCACTTCATTTTTGGACAGTTAGTAGTGTGAACTCCCCAAAAGAAACAAATTATAACTTTGGTTTCGAGACAATTAATTGATTGAATAGGAGCATGATGCCTTGAAAAGGCCATAAAAAATAAAGGTGCCATCCACACCCAATAAAATGTACATTTCTCTCAGTTCAAGTTTTCCAGTTGTTGTTCACTTTGTTAAGCATCTTGTTAAAGAGACTATACCCCATTTGGCACTTTAGGAATGCTATTTCTTTGCCATCCTAAAAGGTCTCTAATTTGCTCTTTCCTATCTACGACACTAGGACCCACCATTGTTTTTTAAAACAGATTCTCCCGCCCCCTACGTACTACTATACATACATTTCACTCTCAGCCCCCTACTGCTTCGTCTAAAGTATCGAGTAAGTGCTGCGGCTTTTCCTTTGTCGTCGAGGCAACATAACGAGTATTCTCCACTTGGTTTGGTTGAAAATGAAATGAGGAAGTATCTCCATCAGGAACGTCATGAAGAGAGCCATGTCAAGGATGGTGCACATACATTTCACGCGACAAGCAGACTAGCACGTGACCACATTTGTGGAGAATAAGGATGTATATGCATCCGGTTACATGTACATATGTATAAGCAATAAGCATGGGTTTATATAGAACCTTCAGGTCCTATTTGGCAGATCGGATAAAGGATCGGATAGGATTAGTTATACGGACTCGGGTGTTTGGCGTTCACTCGTACTAAATAAGCGCCGGATTAATTTAACCGGTCGGATAGGATAACACGGTATACACCCGCTTAATAAAACCAACCAAAACGCACGGATTATTTAGTCGGGGAAGAAGAATATGGGAGAGAAAGGGAGGGAGTTTGGGGGGGGTGTGGCGGAGAGAGCTGGGGAACAATTATTTGGGATTCTTCTGCAGTCGGGGAAGAAGAAGGGAGAGAGAGGGAGGGTGTTTGGAGGGTGCGGAGAGATCTGGGAACAAAAAAATGATTTCACTTTTTAAAATTTTTTTTTTTTTAAGTTTGATTCCTCATATCTAGTATAATACCAAACACAGTATAAATAATACGGTCACTAATCCGATACTGCACCAAACACCCGACTAATTTAGTCAATACTATCCGGTAACTATTTATCCTATCCGACAGAAATAATCAGTATAGTCCGAACTGCCAAACGAGGCCTCAGTATATATATGTACCCTTTTTAAGTTTAGTACAAGCTTGCAATTTGAGGACTACAATAAACTTCAACTTCTTCAAGGGTTGCTCTAGACTCATCACCAAAAAGTGACTCCTTCCCATCTTCCCTCTTTGCATATGACAATCCTAACCTAGATTTAGCTTGCCTTAAATCACCAATACCCGAATTAGTATCCGGGCCTGCAAACCCGCCCATAACCGGCGCTAGAGGTGGTCCGATAAGCAGCCCATCGGCCCCAAATTGCGGCCCACCCCGAGCATAATCGAAAAGGGCTGCACCACTTCCTCCTACTTTGGGCAAAACAATTGGATCAGTTATGTCATTGTCTGTCCAGTAGAAAAGGAATGCATCGAAGGTGTCATAGTAATCGTCTGTGCTTCTGTAGCCTTCAGGGTTGAATGCACCAAACTTGAAGGACTTGTTTGTGTAACCAATTATGGCACATGGCCCCTTGAAATCACAGAAGTTGTGGAAATTAGCTGCACTAAATCCATCAATTGTGGCCTTATAGCAACACTTGAGTTCCCTACCTGCTCAAAATCATCATATGACATAAGGGTCATTGCTATATAAGTTTTTTGCGTCAGAACCATCGATGAGAGTTGGACTCAGAACATCCTCGATTAAAGTATAGAAGGGATTCCGTTAGAATAAATGAACATCGGGAACAAAGAAGGTAAGAATTATATTTCATATTATCAATGCGAGTATTTGCCTACAGTACAGGCTAATAAGGACATGCCTAAAGGTAAAGGCCCTATATTAGATCTGTTTTCATATTTTATACCTCTCAAAATTATATGTACAAGAAACCACCATATGATACAATTGAGAGAGAGAGAGAGAGAGAGAGAGAGAGAGAGAGTAAAAATACCACTTAAGAATGTTTTGTCAAGCAGAGAAGGTGGGAATGGAAGATCAGTGTCATAGTACTTGGTCTGTGGCATTGCATCCTCTTTGGTTCTTCCTATATTCCAGCCAAACAAGCTGTACGGGCTGCTTCTTTTCAGTTTCCAGCCATAAGATACAGTGTTTGAGAAGCAACAAGCCATTTGTGTGTGTGCAGCAAATGCCTATGCACTAATTTATCCACACCCAACAATACTATATATCTCATTCACTACTATCCTCACAAAATATTGGCAAAAGCTTGTAATATCTTATCCTTAAACATTCTCTACCCTTAAAATGACATGTGTCATACAATTATTGGATTTGTCATTAGTGTGCCCAGGCTTCAACCTTGTCAAGACTTATAATTGCACCAAAAGAATTATAATTTGTAATATAATGTTGCTTTTGTATAATTAGAGTTTAGGAAAGATCTCAAATTCGGTTCCCATGTTTAGCAAATTCAATACGTAACTTGACTAACTGTAACTCATTGGGTAGTTTAGTATGATTCTCCCCTCCCCTAGCAAAAGAACATTGATGCATAAAAAAGAAAAAATAGATTTGTTATGGTAATACAAAAAAGTCATCATGTACTCCTTCATATATATTTTTCCTCTTTATAATTTTATAGATACAAAATAACATTTTTGGAGTCTCGAAATAAAAAAATAAAAATAAAAAGGGTTGCATTTGATAAATTGAATGGTACTAGAAAAAATTCGGCAAAACTATTATGGGCCTAGCCTATGTTTTAACCAGAATTTTAATTAGTTAATAAGCTCATGAAGTAAATATATTTAACGCTATTTAAAATAAAACGTAAAGAAGAATAGCAAATGGGTCCATAGCTCAGTGGTAGAGCATTTGACTGCAGATCAAGAGGTCACCGGTTCGAACCCGGTTGGGCCCTCATCAATTTTTCAAATTTTTTTATTTTTATTTTTTAATGTTTTTGCAAGCTTCTTCGAAATCGTTTAGCAATAATAATTTTAATTTGATAAATAGAGAAATACGGATATGGAATGTACCTAAGCGCCTTAATTTAAATCCTAAATTGCATAGATGTTTGATTAAAAAAAATTTAATTTTGAGCGTTTAAATCTAATTTGCGGTTTTTTTTTCTTCATGTATTTTCATGTCAACCGTCTTCCAAATCATTTTGCTGCACCCAAGTTTAAACTGAATAATCAAAGACATATTTTTTTTTTTTTTTTTTTTAACAATAACAACAACAGATTCCTTGTAAAATTTTCATCAAAACAAAAATATGAAGACCATGGTTTTTATCATTCGGAGCCGATTATTCTCTAATCGAATGAACATTTGTTCTATGAAGGAAGTTCTGCAATATTAGCCAGCCACTGCCAACAATATTTGGATTATGACATCCATCCTTGCTTGTACAGATTAAGTCTTAAATTAATCAGCTGCATGGGAAGGCAAATGGTTTTGAAGAGGATTCACCGGTGGCCTCTCACAAGTCACAACAATATTCTCATCACCATGCTCGTACTCTTTGAAGCATGCAATCCTCCCCAACTCTTCAACTTCCTCGATCACATGATCCAGCTTTGCTACCATCTCCACCAGCAGAGACGCAAAAGCGGCAAATGGAAGCGCTTCTGAGAACTCGAGGCTTGTTATGGCAATTTTACTCAGCTGTGGCCTCAAGAACTTCCTCTCCGGCTCCTTTGCCTGCTCAGTAGCCCCCTTTGTTTTCCATTTGAGCAATGCTGAACTGTCGGTTTTCACGCTTGATAACGAGACTCCTGGCTTTTGTTGGGTTGCGTGTGCAGCTGCCAGGGCAAGCATGTTGGTTGCCTGGTTGCTGTTGGAGCCGAGGAAGAGTCTTGGTTGTGATTTTATGGCTGTGTTAAGATCTTGCAGAGCTTCGTGGAGGTGATCGGATAGTATTTCGGGAGAGCAATGGCGGCGATTTCTTATGCTGTTGGCGAGTTCCATCAGTGCCTTTGATACTTCCCCGGCTAGGCGAATGCATGGGTCCTTGAAGAGTAACCTAACAGATCTTGGGGTCTGCAAGAGAAATTTAGTAGAAAAATGTAAATCGATTATTAAGAAAAACAAAGCCAAAATTAGATCCCCTTTTTGTTGATGCATGTGAAACTATTTTCCAAATCTGCGATCTGTCACAACAAGAAACATGTGACCTATATTCTTGTTCACTACGAACAAATTATGAGGGTTCACGAGAACATAATCATAATTCTCATGACAATCATCATACTTTTTTTTTTTTTTTTTTTCTTGTATATTTTTTTGTTTCTTTTCTCAATGAATATTAACAAATAGGGTAAATGTATTAGAACATATATTTCTTAAGCGTTACCTGAATTTCGGTTCCTATACATCCATGTAGAGCTACAACAGTGTATCCAAAGTGGCGAAGAACGTTTCCCAATTTCACATATCGCTGCCATGGAAATCTGTAACAGTGTCTTGAGTGCCTTGGTTCCCAACTTGCATGTAAGGCCTGCTCAAATTGCAACACCAAAATCATTGAAGAGGGCATAACAATTTCGCAGAACTTCTGTGAAGTTGAATATAAAAAAAAAAAAACGAAACCAAAGATTTCCAAGAATCATACCATGGTTTCATCCTGAGACTTGGAGTCCAAAACAGCCTTATAACCTTTATATATAGGATCCTCAGTTGATTTGTCTTGGTCTGCATCTGTTTCTTCACTGAAGTACTCATTCGCACAAGCTGCAAAATCATAAATCGCAAAATACTTTGAATCACTGGCATATTTAGTTATTGATAAAATGATTTTTTGTTACTCGAATGATATTCTAATCAAATATAAAATTCGGCAAGGAGATTCAAATTTGGGTGCAGAGGTCGATCATATATGATAAGTAACTTTGCTTATATACCTTCAATAGCTCTAGCTAGGCCTTCAAGTTTGAACACTGAGGAATTATGGAGCTCTTCTCCTGACCAATTCGGAAATACCAGTAGACTCATCAGTAGGCAGATACCACAGCCTATGGCAATGGTGTAGAATCGCTCATGCGCAATCTTCAGGACATGCTTGTCGCGGTAGCTTGACACGGTTATTAGGTTGAAGGTCAAGAGAAATATCACTATTCCATAATCGTAGTTCTTCCTAATATAAGGGAAAAACCTCATGTATGTAGCTGTAGCTCCTGCCAAATCATAAAATGAAAAGATAGGAAAATATTAGTATAATTTTAATTAGTAGAGAAATTTTCAATTGACAGATTATGATAAGGGAACTAACTTTAAATTAACATGAAAAACAAAATCTGTCTTTTTTTAGAACTAGGAAATGTCATTAAAGATTGCTTAGTGAACAAAGATGAGATTACCAATCAGAAAGACTGCTGCTCCGATGAAAACTGCTCGAAAAGTGCGACCGGATTCAGTTGCAATGTACTGAATGAAAAATGCCAATGATCCAGCTAACAATGTTCCCAATCCTCGGTTCAGTCCTTTGCATAAAGTAGCCCCTGTTTACAAACAAGAAGAAGTACATGAAACAACTTTTGTTCATCACATATATATAATATCTATTATTTATAGTATTTAAACAAATCATAGGCTAATCAATCACCTGCAGTGAACTCAAGCACAACAACCACAGTCATGACAGCCCAAATGGCATTCTCTCCAACTCCAACAAACAGTGGCTGTATCAGATACAACAAGGAAACCAGTGTCAAAGACAAGCCAACTTTCAGAGCATGGATCACCCTTCTCGGATCATCCCGTCCAACGGTCCACACCGTGCTCCAAACCAAAGCCGGAAATCGTTTCATTCTATCGACAAAAATCTGCAAACGCTTCTCTCCATTCCCTCCAGTTTTACCACAATCCTTGTCCATGTCCATTTCCATACCTGCATGAACTTTGGGAAACATACAGGAAAAAACCCCCCAAAAATTTAAAGGACACACACAAACTGAAAGTCGTGGAGGGAAGATCGGATGATTAGAGTTCTGATTATTAGAAGTGTGGTATAGACAAATATATAGTTTGCGTATATATCAATATTCAGTTTGAGGAACACCACCATGCAGCCATAATATGGGAAGTATTAAAATAATGCCGAGTATTGTGATGTGCGCTCTCTCTGACACAGCTCAGGGGTACTTTATATGGCGTGAGAAAATGAGACTGGTGACTGTTCCTACATTTCACATGCATAGCACAAAAGTGTGTTGTCATATTAAATATGGGTTGCTTTCACAAGGGGTAAGAGTCAACATTTCATCACTCAAATTGTTTTGTTTATTTACTCAACCGTGATTAGGGGTTTCTATAATCTACTACTAATATTGTTCACTCGTTTTTCTTTGACGAGTATTTATTTTCACTTTATGGCACGGGAGGGGGCTCAAGACTCACACAAACCGGCCACTCAACATCAACCAAATTTAAAAATTTGTATTGCACCATATGGGTTCTCATATATCAAATACTTAAAAAGAAATTGTCCATCATGTAGAGATTCTCAACTCCAAATTCAGATCACATTCATGTATAGTAAGATTAACGATGCCAATATTTGAGATCTCAAATGTCCATCTGTGGAAACTCAACTTTTACTCCCTAACCAAAATTGTTTACTTGAATATCAACTTGATATGTTTGATTTATTCAATACCAAGGCTAGAGAAAAATGGAAGAGTTGTAAAAGGCGAAAGGAATTGTGAAAGACATGTTTATTTATAGGAAATGAGAGTTGGAGCCAATCTGAATTTTGAGTTTCAAGCGTTTCGTAAAATATGAGTATTGACGCAACCTCCAAAGAAAGAATCCACCATAATGTAGGAAAAAACTTTAAAATTAATTTATTGATTATTAATAGATAACAAACCTAATGTCTAAACATTCTACTTACAATGTCTCTTAACACTAGAAGCCCTAGGAGTCCGAATATGGTTCAGAATCAAACAATTAATTAACAAAATATTAAAAAATGCCTTAAAACTTAAAACACTGCAAACTATGGAATTTGACCCAAAACGCCCATACGTTACATGAAAGCATTGTGTTGATGTGCGACTCCATTCTCTTCGAAACGAGGGGTCATGGGCTCAAATTGGACATGGAAGCCTAAATATGTAAACCTTTAGTCTTGTTGCCTAATTTGCATCATTCAACTTAATCTTTAATCCATTCCACCATTTGATCTACATCATAATCAATTTTCATTCCTAATGTCTGCA